GGAAAATATGGCCAATTTAAATAGGAAGTGTGAAGGTGACATTTGATTTAGCATTCAAATGCTTTGACTTTTAGTTTCTATAAGGAGATTTTAACATGTATACTAGTGGTAGATACAGGCTATGGTGCTCAAAAGTTTACTTAGTTTACAATGTTACCTTTTGGTCAACATTACCATTTTCATCAGGAATAGATGTCAGTAGTATACCTTAATTTTTGGTGGCAGGAGTATTGGGTTTTTTGTTGTTGTTGTTTTGTTTTTGTTTGTTTGTTTTTATATAGGATTCATCTGTGTAGCCCTGGCTCTCATGGAACTCACTCTGTAGACAGGTCTGGCCTGGAACTCAGAGATCTACCTTGCCTCTGCCTTCTTAGTGCTGGGATTAAAGGTGTACACTGCCATGCCTGGCAGAGTATACTCTTTTTTTTTTTTTTTTTTTTTTTTTTTTGGTCTTAGCATTAGAGAATTTCATGATGCATGGCATAGTTGACCACCACTAGGACTCAGCAAATGTAAGATACCAAACATTAAGACAAGCAGATCTCCATGTTCAGTTTACACATCAGAAACTCTTTCCTACACTATGCTTTTGGTTTATTGTCCTAGCCTTGTGTCCAAGCCTTATAGCTTGGTGTGAGTCCATAACATCTTTCGAGGAAAGAATTAAGAGAGTGTGGTGGGAAAGGGTGAGAGCACAAAAAGATGTTGATGCTAAGTATCTTTTTCTGTCCAGAGCAAGGTACTTCATAACATCTAGCTCTGCTAACTTACATTTTTACTAAGTTATATTGTAACCCGCCAGCCCCATACTCACCCTGTTATTTCTTCTCTCTGTCACTCCTTCCTTTGACCTTCACTAGACTTTATGTTCCCTGCTTTGGCAGTCTACTTTTTCAACACCCTCTTGACTTCTGCTGCCTGCCCCCACAATGTTTCCAGAAATCTCTGTCCATTACATACCATTTTTCTATCTATATGGGGGTTTCTACCTAAATTAATGTGTCATGAAGAGGAGGAAGGAACTAAAATATACTGTGGCCAAACTCATGTCTGGCCACAGAAATGAATATTCTCAAGGCAGGAGAAAGCAGACTGTTTAGCTTCAGTAATTACATAACCTGCCCTCAGTCTTGCTAACCATCAGAATCAGGTAAGGGTTGGTTACCCCTTCCTGTTACCATATGAGGGCAGAGCGAGAAGGCATTTTATCTGTGAAGCAGGAGGAGCCCTCATAAGAAACTTAACTGAGCTACAACCTCAGGCTTAAACTTGGCAACTTCCAGAATTGTGAGGAACTAATTTTCTGCTGTTGTAGTCTTCCTATCTGTGTTGTTTTGTTGTGACCCAAGTAGACTGACACCAAGCAAAGTCTTTCTCCCTAACATCTGTCAGTTCCTCTTTGATATGCTTGTTCTGTTCCCATCTACTTCCCACATTCCATCTTGCTTTTTCCTCTCCCTGAGACATGTTCCTGCCCATTTACTGTTCATGAAAGTTCCATGTTCAGACTGAGAAGACAAGAGTTCCCTTTGAACAGTGGCATTCCCAAAGAATTCTATCTTCATTGAACACAGGGATTTCCTGGTATTTGAAAGCTCCCAAGCTCAGTAAGTTGGTACTTTTGTGTATGTTGTAAAAGAAAATGATGAGGAAAATGCCTCTCATCCATCTGCACCATTTCATTCATGCTCTAAATAGGTTGGTGAGGTAGAGATCACAGATAAGGGTATTTCCATATTACTGAGTAAAGCTAAGAAAGGCAGGCAAGAATTCTATCACTGAACCACCAATGCTGTGCTTAAACCTAAGAAAGGAAGTAGCTCTATAGATTGAGTTCAAAATAATGCTTGTAGGATTTCTTCATATTGGCACTTTTTTTTTGGGACACTATTCTGTGTTGCAGAATGTTTAGCAACAACTTTGGCTTGTGTCCACTAGAAGCTACTAGTCCTAGAGGCATCAAGTAAAAAGTCTCCAGATGTTGCTAAATATCTTCTGGGGTGCAGAGTCCCTGGTTGACAATCATTGGCGTTAAGAGAAAAGCCCCTGGGTTCGAATGGGAAGATGATTTAAGACAATTTTGTTGCTGCTTTTGCTTCTTTCCCTCTCTCCCTCTTTCCTCCCTTATTCCCTTTCTTCACTTTTTGTGGGGTATGGGCTGTCCAGCTATTATTTATTCATTAAGTATGTTTATGTGCCAGATGCTTTACATACATTCTCTCTTAGCACTCAGATTATCTCTTTGAAGTAGTAATAATCTTCTCTTAGCAGATAAAAATACTCTGATTGACAGGCTGGCTTGCCCAGTCAGTAAGTGGTAGAGCTGGGACTGAAACCCAAATCATTCCTGTTCTGAGATGTTTCCCCCACTCTTGTGACTATGTAGACTTTGCCAGGGTAATTTCTCTTGTCTCTTTAAGGAGCAACCTAGAGATGTATATTATTTTACCACATTTTTTCCTTCATAATTTGCTCTTTGCCTAAGACATTGCCAAACTCTCTCAGGCTTCAGGGAGTTAACGCTAAAGAGAATGTGGACCAACCCTACTGCAGAGAAGTGTGTCCTTGGTGACCATAAGGAAGCATTTTCCATATATTTTAAGAGACACTTCTGTTAACTTGTCTCATCACTCCTTGGTATTCTTCCCATTTTATTTTAGTATGCCTGTAATTTTGTCTGTAGCTCAGAATTGTCAAGAAGTGGGTGGCTTTGCCATGTTTATTTTGGCTCCAGTGATAAAAAGTATTAACCACCAGTACAGAATGTATAGCCATATGAGTGTTTTGGTTTTGTTTTTTCTCAAATAGTATTATAAGCATGGTGGTACAAACTATAATACCAGTGCTTAGAAAGCTGAGATAAGAGAACACCAAGTCCTAGAATACATAGTAAGATCCTTCCTGTCTTAAAAAAAAAAAAAAAAAAAAAAACAAGCCGGGCTTTGGTGATACACACCTTTAATACCAGCACTCGGGAGGCAGAAGCAGGCAGATCTCTGTGAGTTCAAGGCCACCCTGGTCTACAGAGCTAGTTCCCAGATAGACTCCAAAGCCACAGAGAAACCCTGTCTCAGGGGAAAAAAAAAAAGAAGAAAAGGAAAAGAAAAACCAGGCATAGTAGCATACCTCTGAAATCCTAGCACTTGGGAGACAGAGTCAAGAAGGTTGACAAGCGAGTCCAAGGTTAGACTGGGTTACGTTGTGAGGTCCAGGCTAGCCAGGGCTATAGACGACAGTTTCTGTTCTGCCTGATCTCACAGTGTTTAGTCCCAAATAAACACACAGAGAATTATATTAATTATAAACTATTTGGCTGATGGCTCAGGCTTCTTATTGGCTAGCTTTCTCTTAATTATTAACCAACTTCTATTACTTCTGTCTACAACAATGTCTCAAAAAAATGTTTAGTCATTTTCAGAGTATTTTTACAAATACTGTATTCTCCAGCCAGACATGGTGACACACACCGTTAATTCCAGCACTTGGGAGGCAGAGGCAGGTGGATCTCTGTGAGTTAAAGACCAGCCTGGCCTACATACTGAGTTCCAGGACAGCCAGGGCTATGTAGAGAGACCTTATCTTATAAAAACAAAACAAGTATTATTTTCCTAGACTCTTGCTAAATAATCACCTGTTTTATAGACGAGGTACATACCTTGTCCGAAGCCAGTGTCTATTAAAGTATTAGAACCCAGTATAAAACCCTTAACTTTTAACTTTGACCTTGATCAGAGTTAAAGACCTTGAAGTCTGGTGTTCTTTCTGCCATCTGCTGCTGTTGCTTGTTAGTTTTTCAACCACCATACCCAACAGATCTCATACTAAGCAGGAGAGTTGACCATGCTTTGTTCTCGCTGAGTCTAGTCTGCCTACTTGCTTTAGATACTACAGAGCCTAGAAAAATCCAAAAGCCAAGTATGAAAGCAAAAACAAGAAAACAAAAGACAAATAGGAAGCCACAGTTGTCTTCTGAACAGTTGAAGATATATTGGGAAGAGGAATCAGTACCCAAGGGGATGAATGGAAACAAGCTATTTGCTTTGTTTTGGTTATTACAATAAATTATGAAGTAACTCATACTGTAGTTTAAGGTTCTACTAATGACTAGGTGTATAAGCAAAGGGAAGGGGAAGGGTGTAAGAATTGTAAGAGGGAGAACTCTGGCATCAACTTTTAAAAAATTATTTTTTATCGATATAATTGTTTTGTCTGCATATGTATCTATGCATTACTTGTGTGCCTGATGCCCACAGAGGCCAAAAGATGGCATTGGATCCCCTGGAATGGTAGTTACAGATGCTTGTGAGCTGCCATATGGGTGTTAAGAGTTAAACCCAGGACCTCTGGAAGAGCAGCAAGCACTCTTAACTGCTGAGCCATCTTTGCAACCCCTGAGAGCAACATATTTGTAAGCTCTGGGAGAAGAGTTTGTATCAGGGCTACTTTTTAAAAGGCCTGTGTGGAGTGGGGCACGGGATAGAAGGAGATTAGATGGCTCAGCCTTAACATGTTATATGAGCCTGAGTTGATCCCTGAAAACCTATGTAAAGGTAGGAGAGAACCAACTGCCCTTTGTCCTCTGACCTCCACATGCAGGCAGCAGTTCCTCCTCCTCCAATAATACACATACATACAAAAATAAAATAACCTTTTAAAAATGTAATAAAGGTGTTCAGAGGGTATGGCCTACTTGGTGGGTTACTGGTGAAAGGCTGGATAGCTAGACTATCAGGAAGGGGCTGGAAAGGAAGGTGCAGTGAGTGTAATAGGGCAGGCAGTGCCTGAGTTCCCTAGCATTTCCAGATGAGCCTGCAGTGTTGATTTACTATGATCAAGCCTCATTATGGGTAATGTTGCTTGCTTAGAATCTGAGATTATGAAAAAAAAATTCCAGGAAAAAAATGAGGTTATAGAATCTGTCTCAGGGAAATGATAAGAGATAGCATGGAGTTAATTAGAGAAGGGTTTAGGGATGCCTCTGCTACCGTAACTGTTGGCCCTGGCCAGTGAGAACTTGATCACTGTGTAGTCTGAATTCTAGGAACCAAGAGATAGTGTATTCTGAAAAAAAGACTATGGGGATAGCTTGATGGTAGATCACACATCTGTATGTATAAGGCCCTGGGTTCAGTCTCTAGCACTGCCCCACCCAAAGTCTGCAGTTCAAATCACATTTGTTGACATTTTCATCAGAAAGTATTCTGAGGTGCTATTTCTGGTATGACCTAGAGAATGGGTATATCTTAGTGTGCTCAGGCAATTGTCACACCTGTTATCAGAAATGACCTAAATGAGACCAAGGCAGGAGTGGGTTCCCAATCAGGTATTAATGCCATCACAACAGACTGGGTGACTGTCAACCAATGTCAAGAAACAGGAGATTGTGAGAAGAGCCCAAACCATAGCCACAACCTATCAGAGTACCCAAGGAATTTTTAGTGCAGGAGTCTATGACCTATAACGCTATCCTAATAGTGTATATGTAAATGTCTGTTTCAAAGTTGAAATTGTATTTTTCCAGCAGATGACAGTCTTGTAGCATCTGCACTCTGTGGATTATTTAGGAAGTATTATTATTTTTGGAAATAATGATTGATGTAGATGCATCTGGAATTTTCATTCTTATCTTGGATTATCAGCTTGAACATATTTCTCCTCAGAAAATGGTTTGCCAAGGAGGCTGAAGCAGAAGAATTGTAAATTAGGTCAGCCTAAGCTATATACCAAGATTCTATCTCAAAGCTTTGAAATAGCCTGATTACTAACTTATGTTAGTTGTTTGTCTTACTCAATTAAAGACAATGGAGTATTTTCTTTAACTAATTTGAACCTGTCTACTTGTTCACGTCCCCATTGTCATTTTTCTTTCTGTTGGGAAGGAATTTCGTTTTTCTTAGAGAGATGCCATGTTTTCTTCTCTCTAGAAGGTTCTTTGTTGTCTTGCTTTTTAACCCTAAGGATGCAACTTAAAATTTTTTGTATCACATGGCCATACTACATCTCCAGCCATGCTCCCCTTTAGAAATTTTTTATCTTGAGAATCTTGCTAAGTTGCCTAGACTAGCCTAAAATTTGTAATTGTCCTGCCTCAGTGACTCATATAACATTGGATTACACTTGGTAGTCACTTTTCTTGTCCTTTTGTTTTTGAGATCAATTTATTTCTAAAACTTTTATTGTTGTAACAAAAAACTTATTATCCCCGCTATAGTTCCTTCCCTCTTTGGTATTCGTGTCTGCCTCAAATTCTGTGTCTTTTTGAGGTATTCATAACCTCTTCAAGATGACAGTTTTGCACTTGCTGAGTGTCAGGACCAAGAATAGGTGGTGAGTCAGACATAGCCCCCCCGCCTCGCTGCAAGCTCACAGGATAGATGGATTCCCTGGGTCCCTTTTGGGTGTTGCTTTCGAGGTCTTATAGCTCATCTTTCTTTACACTGTGGCCATTGTCTTCTGCTCTCAAAACTTCTTATACTTGTTTTGCCTGAGTGTGTGTTTGTGTGTGTGTGTGTTTGTGTGTGTGTGTGTGTCAGTGTGTCTGTGTGTGTGTATCTGCCTGGTACCTGCAGAGGTCAGAAAGGGTGTCAGGTTTCCAGGAACTAGTGTTACAGATGTGAGCCACCAAGTATATGCTGGGAACCAAACTTAGGACCTCTGGAAGAGCAGCCAGTGCTCTCAACCTCTGAGTCAGCTCTGCAGTCCCCCTTTTTATATTTCTTGATGTGACATGGTATTGGGAGAATACATCCATCTTCTCTTTAGTGATTGCTGTTTCTCCCTTCCTCTTATTTATTTGTGTTACATACTCTTCTTTCTTTGACCAGTTCTTAGTTGCTTTTTTATAACTCAGTTTGGGGAATTACTTGCTTTGAATTATGTTTTTCTTGTTTGCTTGTTGTTTATTTTTTGTAGTGCTGAAGTTAGAACACAGAGCTTTGATATGTCATGCAAACACCTTTATACTGAGTCACATATGACGTTCAGAGCACTGCATAATGATGGCTTTGCATCTCTGTCTGTCTGTCTCTCTTACACACACATACACACACACACAAATAAATAAATGAAAAAGATATTATTTGCTCCCTTTTTTCCTGGGAGTCTAGTTGTATTTCTGCTAACCCCTCAGCAAACAAGGTAGCTGGCATTTCTGGAAGGAATTGCCTGTTTCTACTTTTGGCATTTCTCTTGTACATGTCTCAGAGGCTTGTGCCTCACAAAACACCTTCTGGTTGCCATCACATGATCACAAGGAAGCTGAAGTCATAACACCCAATGACAGCTGCTCCCAAAGATCCCTGTCAGATTAATTTTTCTTTTTAGTCTTTCTAAATAATCCCTAAAGGAACCTCTAGGAACACTGTAAAACTGAAGCCCTTGCCTTTAATCCTAGCACTTGGGAGACAGGCAGGCCGATCTCTGTGAGTTCAAGATCAGCCTGTTCTACAAGAACTTGTTCCAGGCCAGTCTCCAAAGCCACAGAGAAACCCTGTCTCAAAAAACAAAAAGAAGAAAAGGAAAGAAAGAAAAAAAGAAAAACTGGGCATAGTAGCATACCTCTGAAATCCTAGCACTTGAGAGACAGAATTAAGAAGGTTGACAAGAGTTCAAGTTTAGACTGGGTTACATAGTGAGGCCCAGGCTAGCCAGGATTACATAAGACTGAAGCCCTAATATAACCCGTCTTTAAACCTATGCTTTTTTGTACAAATCCTTTTTGTTTGGTAAATTACAAAAGGGAGACACATGCTTATGGTAGAAAAGCATTAAGGAAGTTACAATCACCCATAATCTCTGTGCAGAGATAAATGGTGGTTAATGTTAGGTATTTTCCTTCTGATTTTTTTTTTTTTTTAATGAGACAAGGCCTTATAATCTAAACAGTCTGGGTTGGATCTCACAGTGTAGCCCAAACTGGCCTTGAATTCTAAGCAATCCTGCCTTTTTTAATGTTGGGAATCAAATCCAGAGCCTTGAACATACTAAGGCCAGTATTCTAGTGCTGAGCTACACCTCTGGCTCAGCAAAGAACTGTTTCTAAGAAGGGATTCTTGAGCAGCTGGATATTTAGAAAGGCAGTGTTGAGACGGGCTCTTTATTTGCAGCTCCACGCCTTCTGGAAGCTGTTGGGGAGATGAATGCATGTACCATTATATAACAGTTTAAATAATAAGAGTTTTTCAGGGAAGGGCTTATACTTTATGAAAAATCAAGTCAGAAGTGTTTTTTCTCTTTTTCCCAAATATATTACCCATTACCCTTTCTGTTCTTTTATGTTGTACTCTTTCAACTTTGGCAGCTTAAATACTGCAAACGTGCCTCTGAATCATTCCATTGATTCCCTCAAACATTACTGTCTTGGTGAATTTCATTTGGAGCTTTTAAATATGCTTTACTTTTTAAATGATTCATTGATTTTTTTCCCTTTTTTTATCAGCAGTTTTGTAGGATATAATTAATATGCCAGCCTATTAAGAACATTTTCCTTTTTCTTTCCTTCAGTAACATTGCTTTTTAGAAAATTTCATTGATTTTTATTTATGTCTACATGTGTGAGCTTTTCTATATATGCACTATGCCCCAGAGGCCAGAAGAAAGCATTGGATCTCTTGGAACTGTGCTGTGAGCCTTGGAATAGGTGGTTGTGAGCCACCTTACCTGGATACACTGCATGAAAGCAAGTGTCCTTAACTGCTGAGGCATCTCTCCAACCCCAACATTGCTTTTCTTTTTAATTAAGACTTATTATTTTTATTTGTATGCATGTGTGTATGGCTATGTGTGGGGGTGCCTGCTGAGACCAGAGGATTTGGATTCCCTTGAGTTGGAGTTTTAGGTAGTTGTGAGCTGCCCCACATGGGTGCCAGAACTGAACTTATGAGCTCTACAAGAGAAATGTGCATTCTTTTGGGTTTTTTGAGACAGGGTTCCTTTGTGTAGCCCTGGCTGTTCTGAAACTCACTCTGTAGACCAGACTTGTCTTGAACTCAGAGATCCACCTGCCCCTGCCTCTTGAGTGCTAGGATTAAAGGCATGCTTGGTGCAGTGTGCTCTCTTAACTGATGAACTATCTTCCCCAACATTGCTTTTCTTTAAGAAGAAATCTAACAAAAGTTAGATTTGAAATCTCCATTTCTTGGCTTTGTCTTCTTCCCAGATGTGTCTTTAATTTCTAGATCTTGGAACCTTTTTTCTGTCATATCACTGTCATTGTGGTCTCTCTCCAATGTCTTTTCCTTCCAGGTACTTCCCATGTGTGCTGAGGATGAGCTTTAGGCTCTGGTTCATCCTTACTGTTTTCTTTCCACAGAAGGCACGATATGGCAGGATTTGCTGGATAACTAGGCTTTCTCTTCATGTTAATCTCACCTCTAAAAATGTAGCCTGCAGTAGCATATCAAACACCCACCCTCTCTCCAAAGCTGTTCCATGAGAATCATTTTAGTTTGTGAGAAGCAGGAGTCTGCACGTTCACTGATCTCACTGTGAGCTAAATTTGCTGCACATTTGGGGAAACTGACTGTGTTTTCTGCCTTCCATTGACAGAATGGCACACGAAACTTCCAGGACTTTGACTGCCAGGTAAGGACTGTACAAGCACCAAAGAGGCTCTGTACAGGGTTCCTACAGTGCCTCCCTCCCTATGCCAGTAGTCTTAGAGAAGTAGATCTTGTTTTGTTGTTGTTTGCGTTTTGTTTTGTTTTGTTTTGTTGAAGCAGGGCCTGTGGCCAAGGCTGGCCTTGAATTCATGACAGTGCCACCCTGCTTCAGCCTCCTAAGTTCTGGGTTATAGGCATGAGCCATCACACCTAGCTAAAAGTGTGCTCATCATAGTAATCATGACTCCTATTGTTCTTTTAGTCATTGGATCAAGTTTATTTAAAATGATTTGCTATCATATTCAAAAAGTGCCTTCTACAAACCTTCCTAATGACTAGAGGTTACTTGGTTGAGCTGCCTCTTTGTGACTGAGAGCTCCTTTCCTCAAATGATGTCAAAGACCGCATTTGTCACCAGTGGTTAAATGGAAGGTTGTCACCAGACTACAGATAAAATAGATGATGATTGTTTGGAGAAGCAAC